GGCCGAGGCACCCGGTGCAGTCCGCGCGCAGGGGTCAGGGTTTTTTGTTTTGATTGTACTGGAGATTGAACCTGGGTTCTTCTCGCGGAGCCACCCACCAGCCATTTTCAGTTTAACTTTTTATTTTGAAAAGGGAGAGGTGTCTCGCAAATTTGCTGAGTTGCCCAGGTTGGGCCAAACTGGTGATCCTCCTGCAGAGTGCTGGGGTTCCAGGCAAGCATCACTAGATATAGCTTGAGAACCTTTAAACAGACAAAATTACTAGGAGGTTAGAAAGGGCTGTCGGGGGACTGGGGAAATAGCTCATCCGTCTAAGCACCTGCCTGGCAAGCGCGAGATGGCACGCTGTAATCCCAGCACCAGGGAGGCTGAGACAGTCCGAGCTGTGTAGGGAGACTCTTTATAAGTAAATAAATAAATGCAAGGAAGGAAGGGAGGGAGGAAGGAAGGGCTGGCTGTCCGGGAGATAGCTCAGTAGAGTAAGTGCTTGCCCTGCCTAGGTCTGGCGCCCAGCTTTCAAGCCCAGCTTTCAAGAACTGTCCGGAGGCCTTTGTCCCTGCCTGCAGCAACCCCTCCCTCAGCCCTGGGTTGACTGGCCCAGCTGCCGTGATCCTACCACCTGTGGCTGCCCCTCGCTCACCCCCCCCCCCATGGACTCCTGGGGCGACAGGGGCACAGCACAGTCTCAGGTTCCAGTGGGGAGCTCCCTGACCTGTTCTTTCACTGCAGGGGAGGAGGCGCGTGGGGCCGACCGGATCATCCATGATCGGGACCTGGCCTGGCTACAGCGGGCAGATGGTGAGTGACCCCACGGTGTCACCAGGACCACCCTTGGTCACCTTTCTTTCAGGGCCTCGGTACTACATCTCAGCTTTTCTCCCCAGTGGTGGTGGCCGAGGTGACACAGCCTTCCCTGGGGGTCGGCTATGAGCTGGGCCGGGCCATGGCCCTCAACAAGCCAGTGCTGTGCCTCTTCCGCCCACAGTCTGGCCGAGGTGAGCACCCCTGCCTTCGGTGATCCCTAGGCCCAGGGTAGGAGCAAGGAAGCAGCCTCACATCCCTGTCACTGTCTGCCTCCCCAGTGCTTTCTGCCATGATCCGGGGAGCCGCAGATGGCTCCCAGTTCCAGGTGTGGGACTACGAAGAGGAGCAGCTAGAGGCTTTGCTGGACCGGTACTTTCTGGCTGCCGGCTGGCAGGGTGCCACAGCTAGTGACCCTGACCACGCCTGATGGGACGCTACCCCAGTCCCCACCCCCACGCCCTCTTTAGCACAGAAGGGAATTGAAAGGTTCCTTTAAAATTCTTTTTTTTGGGCAGAACTGGGGATTGAACTCAGGGCCTTGTGCTTGCCAGGGAAGCGCTTATTCTACTGAGCCATCTCCCCGGCCCCTCGTTTAAAATTCTCTTAAAACAAATAAAAATAAGTAAAATTCCAGGTTCTCAGTCTATCTCGGGTCTGCACCAGGATGAGCAGCCGAGGTCCTCAGGAATGTCCCTTTCCCACCCTGCTTTTGCTGAGACTAAATCGCCTAGGCCTCAAACTCCCAATCCTCCTGCCTTAGCCTCCCAAGTAGCCAAGATTATAGGTGTGACCCCATACCCAGCTTCCCACTTCACTTTAAAGTGTAGGGAGACGCTCCAGAAGTCTAAGGGCACCTCATGTCCACAAGACACTTCTGGGTTTGCAGGAAGGCTCTGTGGAGCTAGTGTCCTCTGAAGCTCAACCAAGCCTGCTGCAATGCTGGCCATACTTGGACCTTCATTTCCCTGTGTCACCTCCACTTCCCTGTGTCACTTCCACTGGGCCTTCTCTGGGGACAGCAGGGTGGTAGGGGTGGTAGCATATACCTGTCCTCCCAGCATTCTGCAAGACGGAGGCAGGAGGATCATAAACTTGAGCCCATCCTGGGCAACTTAGTGAGACCCTGTCTGAAAATTTTAAGAAAGTGTTGGGGATATAGCTCAACGTGAAGGGTCTGGAGAAACAAAAACCAAGAAAGCAGGAGGGTGTGGCTCTGGGAAGGGGCTGGGGAGCTGTCCAGCTGCTCCACAGAAGTATGTGAAAAAAGCAGTTTATTCCATGAACAAAGGAGCCGTGGTGCAGGGACCCCTCCCTCCCCCATGGGTAAGAGGGCCCATCCAGCAGTCCTGTGCGCTGGGGCCCCAGGGGTCTCCTGTGTCTGCCCTCAGTCAGAGGCCTCATCTTCATCCTCTTCATCACCAAAGAAGAAAGTCTCCTGGTCCAGGTTCTCAGACTCCTCATCGTAGGAGAAGCTGTCATTATCCAGCTCGTCATCAAACTCATCCTGGTGCCACTCAGGCACATAGTCCTCCTCCTCCTCTTCCTCCTCCTCCTCCTCTGCCTCCTGTGCCGAGGAGCCCCGGGGCCTAGGAACAGCCACCATGTAAGCCCAAGGACACTGCATCCCACCTACCATCCCCCAGGGGTTGGCCTGCACTCACTGATGGCTGGGCAGGTTGGGTCCCTTCACCTCTTCAGCCACTACCAAGGGACTCTGGAGACCAACCCGGAAGTCCTGGCAGGAGCAGAAAAGCAGAGGACAGCAGCTTGAGCCTAATGGCCAGGCTCATGTCAGGAGGCCCTCCTGTCGCCATAACCCTTCAGACTATATCGCCTTCATGCCATTTGCTTGCTGAGCGCACTGGGGTAGGAAGCTTGGGGTGCGCCCAGGGTCCTTAGCAGTCAGGAGGCAGCCCAAGGGCAGGGGCACAGAAGGCACAAGGCCAGGTACGGAGTGGGAGGAACCCTGGTGGGTCTCACTCCAGTGACCCTCACCCCTTAACCCCTTGTATGGGATTTGCATCCACAGCTGGGGAGGTGTAGTTTGATGGGCACCCAGCCTGGGTGAACACAGGGCTCTACACCTGACATCAGACACCCACCGCCCCTCCACCTTCCCTCTGGATTCCTGGGCAGGCTGCTGAGGGGCACATGGCTGTACCTGAGTGGAATACTGCAGGATGGCCAGCAGACGCTCCTGGATGCGCCGCAGCAGCTCCAAGCCTGTGCTCAGGCAGTCGGCCCGCAGGAGGCGCAGGGCGCAGGCCAGGTCCCCACAGCGCAGCAGCGTCTCCTCTGCAGGGTGAGGCACAGGGCACACTCTTGTCTCCACTCCCGATCCTTCCTTCCACAGACGCCAATAGAGCAGCTACCAAGGGTCACCCCAGCTCTACATCATTCACACAGGCATGTACCAGTGACAGCATGAGGCTGATGGCCAGGGAGCCAGCTCACCTAGGAGTATCTGTAGGGCGTTGGTGTGCAGCTCCAGGTTCTCAGTCTGCTGCTCCACCACATCCATGTACTCGGTGTCCTGGCTGTAGAAGCTGTACACGCAGGCATAGGCCAGCACCTAGGGAGCCGGGCACTCACGCAGTGCCTGCTTGGCTGTCCCTCTACCAGGCAAGTCCCAGCGGGCAGCTGACCCCACCAAGCCCTACCAAGCCCTGCCAATCCCTACCAATCCCCACCACAACCACCTTCCGTGCTTGCTCCAGGCCCTGGCATGCATCACTGAGGAAGGTGAAAGATTTGGGTGGGGGCACCTCGTGGATGGCTGAGATCCGGTTCCGCAGGTTCACAGCAAACTCCTGTGGAAGGAAAACAGTTGGCACCTGTGTGGCTCCACTTGCCCCTAGCCTGGCCCTCTCGCCAACCCTCCTCCCTGCTCACCCGTGCCTGGTGGTGGAAGGTACACCTGGCATTGTAGTCCTGAAAGCGCTTCTCCTGGCGAGCTGCCCTGCTCACCTGGTGAGATAGGAACAGGGCTGCTGACCATTTGTTCATGCGAGACAGTTTATTACTGGAACCCCACTGCACATGGGACCCCACACCCTGTACGAAGGAGTCTCTCCCACTCCTCCTATTAACCCTTTGGAGGAGCTGGGCAGTGGATTCTGACTGCCCTGCCCTGGTACCTGCTGATGCCTTCCTTTCCTATGGCACCAGGGCAGGAAGCCCTGCTCTGAAAATGGAGGCCCTGGGAAGAGGCCTCTCAGCATCAAATCCAGCATGGCAGGCCTGCCCAACTTCCGTCCCCTAGCGGAGCCTCTCTCCCAGCTGCTGTCACCCCACTGCTCCCACCCTGCCTCCCGGTGCTGGCCCTTACCAGGGCAGAGCAGTTATAGTAGTCTTTGTGATTGGGCTTCCAGGACTTGAGGCACCGCCAGCAGAAGCCATGGTTACACTTGGCACAGGTCATGCTGTGGGGGAAGCTAGCCAGTGAGGGAGGCCCTGCCTCTGTGCAGGCGTGGGCCAGGGCTGGGCCCAGACACACCTCCAGCGCAGCCCTGGGCCTCGCCTCTCCCCATTTCCCGGGTCCTGCAAAATGCACCTTCTTTTTGAATTTCCCCACAGAAAGTAAACTTAAAAGCAGGGAAAGGAACATTCACTAATTAATTTCCAGCCAGAAATGGTGGCATACACTTATTATAACCCCAGTACTTCAGCATTTATAATCCCAACACTTCACAATTTAAAAAATTTTAAAAGGTTAAGGGATGTAGCTCAGTACAAAGCTCAGATTCATTCCCCAGTGCAGGAAAGGATAACATCGAGGAAGTCCCTTGCAGGTGACATGCTGTGCTTCATAATCAGCCTCACTGTGCCCACTGCCAGCCTCCCCATCTCCCCAAGTCCTTGAGGACCCACAGTGTCCCCTTCTTACTGCAGGCACCCCTCATTCTTCTCAATGGGAGCCTGGCAGCTGGGGCAGCGTTTGGAGATGAGCTTGGCCAGGTGCTTGCTCTGGGCCTCCACACTCATGCCATCGTAGTAGCCGCCATCATCCACCCACTGTGACATGTGACCACAGCTGGCAGGATAGTGTGCCTAGTATGGAAGGGGATAGTGAAGACACAGCTGAGCCTGGACAGGTGGCCCTGCAGGCCTGTGTGGAGAGAAGACAGGTCTATCTGGAGGACTATGGACAAGAGGACTGAGCCCAGCAGGGAAACGGGGAGGAAGGGCACATCGCAGTCTGTGTGTGACCAGGGAAGGGGCTGGCTAGGGAAGGGGAAGCCTTGCTCAGGGTTTGGGCAGCACCTCGGGGAAACTACAGTTGAAGCAGGAGGCCCAGCCGCACTTGGAGCAGGCGGTGCCGCAGCTCAGGCCCTGGCGGCAAAGGATGCGGTCGCAGCCCTGGGGGTTTGTGCACCAGGTCAGGTTGGAGCAGCTCTCCACGTAGCCTCGGAGGAGAGCTTTCTCATACTGCAGGACCACAGGGGACACAAAGTGAGGGCGAGGCTCTCAGTTGCCACACCTCCAGCAACCCTGAAGCCTCCCTCAGACATGGGGCGATACCTTAGAGATGACCTCTGGCGAGGAGACAACAGCTCGGATAAAGGCTCCAGTGGGCTGCGCAGGGCAGTCAGTGATGGGGCAGGTGCAGTTCAGCACAAGGTTCTGCTCGATCCGGGTCGTCAGATACTCATTCCAGCAAGACTGAGAAGACAGGAAGTGAGGTTGCTCAGACAGGTGACCATCCTACCACATAGAAGGCCGGGGCCACCTGCTCCAGGGTGCACCTCTTAAGTGACCCCAATTCTTCAGGCTACCACGGGTTTTCCTGGATTGCCCCAGACCACAGTTGTTTTAGAGACTGTAGCTCAGGTGTTAGCCTAGTTATTACTGCTGGGGGACACAGGGAATGGGTAAAGAGAACAGAAAAAAAGAAAAGGACCAACACTCTAGAACAGACATGGAAAAAGCAAGGCCAGTGCAGTGAGAAAGGAGCCCCAGGAAGAGGTGGCTGCCCAGACCTCCCACACCGCAGCACCACTCTGCTCTCTCCAAGCGCTGCCACCCCCACTTTGTCCTCAGGCTAAAAGAAACAGCTTCCTCCACACACACAGACTCACCCACGGGATCCTGATCCTAGACCAAAGGCAGCTCCGTCCATGGAGTCACCAGCACTGGAACCCTCAGGTCTTTTCTGGCCCCCCATCTCCACCCCACAGTAAATCTGGCCGTTATCCCTACCTCCAGCCTGTGTAAGAGCCCCCCAATCAATGGCCTCCCCACCTCTGAATGCTCAGTGGCCTGAACTCCCCAGAACACTTCACCAGCAGCCCTTGCCACCCACGTGCCTTTCTCCACCACAAGGTCTTCAAAAAGACAGGGCTGAGGCCTGAGGCTGTACATGTGGGTGGCATCAAGGATAGAGGATATGAAGCATCTGATTGGTTCTATTCCAAGAAAAAGACCAAACCAAACTTCCTATATTGAAACATGCCCAGACTAATGGGGCACCGAGCACAAAATCCTTGCATTTTTTTGTTAAGGTTACTGTAAGCGTAGCTCAGCGTACTTGCCTAGCACATGCAAGGCCCTGGATTC